TATTAGGTGTTAATAACCCATTACTAAAAAAAAATCCGATTCATGTATTCATTACAACAAGTATCTTATAAAATGATCTGTAATCCAACACATGAGCCCAAGACCACAATTTATATAACAAAAAAATAGAACGCCAAGAATGTAAATGTGATACATTCTTCGGAGTGTAATACTTGCTCGGTCGATAATAATCTGTTCTTTTAAATTGGCACATGAATGATGTATTGCTCTTAATGAATCATGATTTTGTTCGTACAAAAGTTGGCCGACGACCAGAAACCAGTGTGCAAAAATAAAAAGATGGAAAGAAAATATTTCGTAATTACGAACTTTCTTTTCACATTCGCATATCCGTCCTCGAAAGATCTTCCAGAACGCATAGTTGCAAGTGTTATAATATGCGACTTTCTTTTCGGTGTAATAGAGAACTTTCTTCCAAGAGAATAATAATATTTTGGCTGGCGAAGGGTTCGACTCTAATTCTCTAATCATTAGAGGATACAAATTTTTAACTTACCTAGAGTATATTAAAGGTATTATATAAGGTATTATAATCGTCCAAACATCAAAATTGAAAATTTATGCATATCTTTACGTTTTGGAGGTTTTTGAACATTTTGGCATACCTTAGAAAATGTATGTGTGTATGGATACAATTTTTTGTCCACATTTTTGGGGCGCACGGATCAATCTATTTGAATGATTCACAATATATTCGATTCTTATTGATAGGGAGATGTGCTGATTAGTTTTTGGCAAAGGCAGGTCTAACCGTTTCGGAGATACGGAGCAAAAAGTGCTGAAAATGGAAATCGTGTTTTTGAGAGAACAAAGCATATTCAACTCGTAATGATGGGGAGAAGTGCTGAAGATTTTGACAAAGGTAGGTCCAACCGTTTTAGAAATTCGAGAACTAGGCATCCGATTTGACTTTAATTTATTTGTTTAAAGTGTAAACAGAATTATTTTTTAACCATTCTCTTTTGTTCGGTAATTATATATATATATAATATATATATATATATATATATATATATATATATATATATACATATGTTGCAGCAATGCCCCCGGCTGTGAGATCATAGATGAAAAGAGCGCTAGCCAATGCTGGGAACGAACCCAGTACTAAAATTTATCCAGAAATTTAAAAAAATATCGTCCTGCAAGAAAACTTGCAGTTTTCTTTAAAATAGGATATTGAGTGTATAGATTTAATAGCATTGAAAAAAATTAAGATTGAAATTCCTAATTATATAATAATAACAACCCTACTAATACTAAGTAAGTAGAATAAATATAATAAAATATTCTTATAATTATAATATATTAAAATATTCTAATTTTGACCATATTTTCAATGACCAATATGACCAGATTTTTCTCCAACAAATAAAAAATTATTGACATTGTATTTCAACGACTTCGTGCATTATATTTAATATTACTTGTAAAAGTCCGACCGGATTTTAAAACGCAGTTAATTGGATCAAGGACAAAATCGCTTAAACAAAAATGTTAATTTAATTCGAAGTTGTTTTTACTATTTGCGGAAGCTTTTAATGCATAAATTTATTCAATAATAATTTATATAATTGATGTTAATTGGTAATGGAAATTCCTTTAAACTAGAAGATTCTTAGCCAATAACGCAAGTAATGGTAGAAAGAATATATTTGAAGGTTTTTTCAACTGATCTTCATTTCCACATTTTTTGTAAAAAATAATTTAGACTAGAACGTTACATAGATGCACTGGAAAAAATATGAGGTGTTACTTTCATCTTTATTTGAAGAATTTCTTTTTAAATTAATAAAAATAGTTCGTGTAACTAGTGATAGTTTAAAAAGAATTATCTCTATCTACATCTATTATTACAAGTAATTTTATTGAAATACAATAATTCCCAGTTGTATCTTTTACAAATTGTACCAATTGTAACACTATCCTCTGATCATTATCATCTCCAGTAATAAAATACAATGTACAAAGATATATTGTAACATAATATTGAAAGTTTTTTTCTCACAATCAGATCAAGTATTATTCTGATAACTATTTCTTTCTTTATAGTTTATAAACGAGTTTGTGATCATAAATTTTACGAATGTGACAATAAATTAAACGGCACGTTCTAAATAAACATTTCTATGGTATCAATTGGAGGTAAAGAGTCGAGATCTATATCAAAATTTTATAAACTATGTGGGTTAAAAACAAAATTTAAATGGACTTAAATGGAAAAAGATATTTTAATACTAACTTTTATAAAAGCTTACACGTGGATGGGGTAAAAAGGACTAACAGTACCTTTATCTTGACAAAGGTGTAAACAATAGAAAATAGAAAATAAAAAAGTAAAATGAATTAAAAAAATCAATCTCACAAAAAATTAAATAAATCGTTATATATTGTGACAAAATACCAGATCAAGGTTATATACAGTGTTTTCTTTGTAGAAAACGTACCGATGAATTTTATATTTTGCATTTGTTGAATAATGTAGTTATTATTCAATTAGTATTATTATTATTTTTTTTAGTACAAATTACGAAAAAATTAATAATTTTAACAAAACATTGCTTTTAAATCTATTTTCTCCAGAACTTGTATTATAGAATAATTTAGTAATAAATGTGTAATAAAAATATAAAATAATTTAGTAAGCTATTTTTAATAAAAAATATGAAAAAAAACATAGTCATGAATCATAAAACTTTGTGTGGGATTGGGATAAATATGTTATTAGTATCAGTATGTATGCAAAAATTTCTAAAACCACTATTTCTAATAATTACTCTTTATTACAAATTACGAATCATTTATCAATTTTTATTTTTAATTACTACTCTAGATTATTTTTGAGAAACTTAGAATGATGTGATTATCTGCAGATATGAAAGGTCGCCGCGAGAGACTGTATTTTAATTGGTGAAAGGTTCTTCGAGTTCTTCGGCAAATAACAAACACCTGATGAGAATAAAATTCTAAACATTTGACAAAAATCATACCACAAGTTTATACAATAGTTACTTTGCGAAAGTAATTTCTAATTACTTGTTAATCACTTGCAATTTATTGGGTAAACCAGGGAATTTTGAATTATAAAAAATACAGGTGGAATATGATGTTGTATAACTACATTTTATAATGTATTGTTAATTTGTTCTATTCACGTAGATCACTTTTTTTTTAATTTTAATTAAAGGATTTTTATAGGATTTTTAACGAACAATTTTAGTTACTAACATCTGACAATATTATTTTAGTATGCAACAAATGTCTATATCAAAAAGTTTTCATTTAAAGAAGTTTCAAGGTGCAGGGTTGTTTTCAATATATAATACTAATCTCAATAATAAACAGAAGTTTCAAAATCATAAATACATATGAAACAAATAAAAATTATGGTTGTCTCAGAAGAAACTGATAAAAATGGTCGTAAACTATCATTAGGGTGTTTTTACAACCATTTGGAATGATTCATGAGAAAATCATAAAATCGATAACATTCACTAAAAATTTTATGAAATGTGATAAAAATGGTTTTAATGCCTGTTTTATCTAATGACTATGGTCTTTGTTAAAGATAAATATATTTATTTCCAATGGAAGATGTATGAGGAATAGTTCAAAAATGTAAATCATAATTTGGATACAATGCAAACCTTTCATACAACTGATAATAGATTGTATCCTTAAATAATGGTGCAGTGAATAAGGTTTTTTGAATGACTCAGAGTTTCAAAATTTATAATAATTTTTTCACTAATTCAAATAAATAACAAAATCATGGTTGGGTTGTAATTTTGTAATTAGCACTAAACATAGACTAAACATATATAGTTTAATAAATATTCAGGTTTTGTAAAAAAAGTAATCGCAGAAAATAAAAAATGAAAATTTTCATATATTTTGACGTTTTGGGGGTTTCTGAACATTTTGGCTTACCTTAGAAAAAATGGATGTATGTGTATGTATGTGTATGTGTATGTATGCATGTGTGTGTGTGTGTGCAAATACAAATTTTCGTCGACGATTTCGTGAACACCTATAGACCGATTTGAGTAGTTAAAAAAAAAATCGATTCGTATTGATAAGGAGACGTGCTGATTTAAAATTTCTCAAAAATCTAATTTTGTTAGAGCAAAAAAATAATCCTTTTTAAAAAAAATAATTTTCGATACGGGAAGATCTGCAATTTGCTTTAGAATGCCATACACCACTAGTTGAATTACAAATATTAAATATATATGAAAGTATTAGCCCAGAAAATACGAAACGATTTGAGCTTACCTGTTCCATATGAACACTGAATAAACTAAATCAGGCGCAAAAAACTCACAAAATTTGCAATTCCCACAATTTTTCGTAATATTTGATAAAAATTTAAATGTATATATGTGTAATTTATATAAAATGTTTATATGTGTAATTTATATAGAATGTATATATGTATAATTTAACTAAATGTATTAATATCAATTTGGGTAGATATACCATGGCTTAGAAACTATGATAGTCTAATAATGTATATAAATTTAACTGAAATAAAGCTCTTATAAAACTAAAAAAAAATCTGATAAAAACTAAATAAATTTGAGAATTACTTAATAAACAGTGAAGTATACAAACATCTAGTGTCACTACTAGGATATATAAACTAATCAATGTACACATTTTCATGTAGTCACTTACCAAGAACTTTCCTTGAATAATTGATCGCCATATCCGATCCATAGCATCATATAAGCATATGACAGTAAATCACATAAAACAAAATTATGTTTAAAATTTGGTTTGATTTAATATCATCCATTATGCAGTAAAATACAAAAAAATAAAATTGATACATGACATAAAATATACATATTTAGCTGACAACTGTGCACCAGATTTCAATCTAATATGAATCCATCTCAGATATTTATCAACTCGAGTAAACACAGTAGGTTTAGAATCTAAACCTGGTATATAGGAGGCTATGCCATATTGCTCACCTTGACAAATCATCGGACCTCCATTATCACCTTTGCTAACACCTATTTCCATATATTTTGGTAACGTACATAGATGAGTTTTGCGAATATTAGATGTCATTTTAGTTAGCCTGGCTTTCTTGCAATAAGAATGCGACATCGGGCGTAAAGTAACTGATCGAAGATTATTTAATATAAAAGGCAGGCTTTCATTCATAGTATTCTGACCCCAGCCGATAAACGTGCATTCTCTAAACTTCGATGATAAATCCTGCTTCACGTAGATGTCTCTTGGCAGTTTTACAACTTGCACCGAATTTGACAATTCAAAAGGCTCGTCCAGCAAAATCATGCCGATATCGTTAAATTTCTTCCTCGAATCATATCCTTCGTGAATGTAACACTTAGATGCTTTTCGCTTCTGTTTGGTAGGACGATCAAAATAGGATTCGACGCTATGACTAGATCCTGCTATTATTTTCAACGAGCAAGTTGTAAGGAAAGTCACACGTTTTAGGCAATTTGCCGACGTCAAAATCCAATGCACGCTGGCGATCGTTCCACCGCAAAAATGTTGACGCCGTTTTTGGAGTGAAACCATGAATGGATATTTTTCAATCGATGCGTCATTTCCACGTAATATATAATCAGATCGATTTACACTTTTGTCTTCTAATTCTGACACTTGCAAGTGAAATAATACACACAAAAATATTAATGCACACTTGATTAATTTCATTGTAAGATTTTTTTTTGAAATCAAATGTTCAAAGCACCAGTTTGTGTAAAATAAGTTCATACCACGATTTCTACTATAAAAATTAACCAAGGTTAGAAGAAATATTTCGAGTTTATATGCTAATAAAATATTGACAGTCATGTTTATATAATGAATTGTTTTTATTTTTTGTAATTTTGAACAAAAGTAATCGTTATCACAGAAAGTGCAAAAATATAGTCTTATTTATATTTAACAAAAGTGCAAAATAAAGTGACTTATAATATGTCGAAGACCCTGACTTCATTGTTTTTTTAATCCACTTTATATATTTATCAACACGTGTAAATACAATTGGCAGCATTGCGATATCAGGTTCTGCTGTGAAAGATGTTATTCCAACTTGATTTTCTCCACAAATCAGAGGACTTCCAGAATCACCTTTATAAGCACCTTTTTCATAAAGATTTGAAAATGTGCAAACTTGTGTTTCTTTTATCTCTGTGCGTGAGTATCGTCTCCATTTTTGTCTGCAAGATGAATGAGATATCAAAGGTAGTTCAACAGATTTAAGAAAATTTGATCCATAATCATCATATTTAACTGAAGTCCGTCCCCAACCGATTGCAGTACATTCGTCATACTTTTCACTCAAGTCTATACGAGAATTTTTCATTGATGGTATGGGAGCTTGTTGCACATATTTGGTATATCGTAATGGACTTCTCAAGTAAACCATACCGATATCGTTTTGTTCTGATCCTGACACGTAATTTTTGTGAAGGATGCATTTCTTTCCTCTAATGGCTTGGGAATTTTTATCGCTTTTATAGCTTTCACAATTGCTAGATCCTGCAATTATTTTAAGTGATGGCACACACTTATTTAAATAACTTATATGATTTAGACAATGTGCTGCTGTCAATATCCAACGTCGACTCACAATTGATCCTCCACAAAAGTGCATTCCTTGTCTACGGAAAGAAACGATGAATGGATATTGGGTTATAGGCACTGTTTTTCCTCCAATTATGTAACCAGATCTATGACCAGTTGTATTAGTTGACAACACTTTGTGACAGTAGCAAGTGATTAATAGGATTAATGCATACTTGATCATTTTAGAAAATAATTTTGTTTTATTGTACTTGTATTAGACATTTGTCCAAAATGAGAAGATTGAAATGAAATTTATGCAAGTGGTTGGTCATTTGTCATTTTCACAAATTCAATGAATACTCATTATGTTATGTAACAATTTAGTACTCAAAGTAAAAATGCATTTTTTAATAAGCGCGGGAAGTAATTTGTTTAAAAAATTTGAAAATTATTAGAAGCCATTACTAATTGTTGTCTTGAATCAAAATTACGAGATAATTATCAAGCTTCTATTCCATACATGACAATATTTAAAATAATTAAAACACAATATAAATTTATATTTTCTATTTAAAAAGTCAATAAACCTAACTATTCCATACATCCTATATACATACATATCTTCATTATTTCACCATTCTTTAGAATTATGTCTAAAAATGTTTCTGATTCTTACCTCTTAAAATATGAAAGCAAGTGAGAATTAAATTATAAATTATGCACGATTTGTCATTTTATCAAATATTTGGTACACAGCACAAAGTCACGAAAAGTTCGAAAGAACATCAGGCCAGGCAACTTTCCTGGTAAGTCTGCATCCTCATTGGCTCGACAGTTCCGTAGTAACTTCCTAGACTTAGACCAACTCCGTTTTCCAGCTTGAAGAAGAGGTCGTTGATGTTTACATCGGCACCGCTAAAAATGATAAATATTGGGTAAATGAGTGATGCAAATTTTGGTAAAAGTCTATCGAAATGCAAGTTTCCAATGAAGATCGATATTGAATGTGCTGTACTATGCAAATAAGTTGACCATTGTCTTTATGAGCAGCAATACCCCGTCACATTTTGGATCATTGATCTGATATCATTACTGCTCAATATCCAATTTGCTGAAGTGGACATGAAATCCTAAACCAGTGGTTGCTAAACCATGTAAACCATTGACAGTGGTTGCTAAACCACTAAACCATTACTTACCACGCACTGGGTTCAGTAAGTTAAAGATATAAAACAAAATTCTGTTTTATATCTATACGAAACCTGATTTTGAGGAATTGGAACCATGTACTCATATTAATTTTAAACAAATAATGATTATTTACTAATTATTAATATTTATTAATTATTAGTATTTATTAATGAAGTTAATTTAAGCGAACAAGTTATTAGCCTTAAGCACAAAGAAAGTGTAACTAAAGATTCTCAGCAAAAAGTTTTGCAACAGTATTAAAATAAAATATTTTTATTAGACTGGTCACAATTTTACTTTTTTACTTTTTTATATTTGCGAATATTTTTTGTTTTTTGTTCCTTTTATGCATTTTATTTTGATGAGTTATGTATATTAAAATGAATAAATGTTTTAATTTTAAAATATATTAATGTTATTGTGAATTCCAAAATTATTTCAGTATGATTATTTCAATATGAATGAAATGAAAGATGAGATGAATGATAAACATTTATTTAGTAATTAATATATTATATATAACAAATATAGAAAGAACTATTTCTAAAAAAAACTATCGAATAAATTAATCTGCTAGTATTCCTAATGATGCGGTGTATACATGGACCTGTCTCTTCTGTCGAAAATAAAAATATGAAATTATTAAAATTTAACTCAATAAAATTAATGTTAAAATTCTAATAAAATTATTATACTTTTACCTAATTTTTGCAAATCTTAGGAAGAATTTGGTATTTGTGAGTGAAAAATTTAATAATGAAAATGATCAATGATCAATGAAATATTTTTTGAGTATATTGATATATTTTTACCTTGCCCATTGTCCTTGAAGATTTTTGTAACTATTAACACTATTGCATGCTAGAAGTGAGTTCATGCCTCCTGGACGAGATTGTGGAGTTCCGTCAATGGTAATATTACCAGCAATAAGTTGTTTCAAACTGAAAAGAAAGATAAAGATAATCAATGGGGATGCAATATCCAGTATGTTTTAGATGCAGAATTATTATTTCATTAAAATTACCTTCTTGTTGAACCACTCTCATTTAATAACAAACTCGTGGTACTTCTACATGCAGATGGAGGAATTTCTTTGTATGGTCCTTGTTTTCTTTCAAGGCACAAGAATACAATCAAGGTGATAGCCTGTAAGTAGTAAAAAGATATTTAATGTACATTAGAAGACTTTGTATAAAATGTGTTTTTATTATCTGAATTAAAGTGAGTATAATTATAACTTACTACAAATCCATGTAGACCAATGACGAACAATGTAGAATTCCTGAAGCCAATACTGTCGAAAAGAGCGCCGCTCACAGAAGGACCAACAAAAGCTCCTAAGGCAAAAGTACTTGTCCATAAACCAGAAACCAAGCCGTAAGTTTCAATGTTGTTGGGAAGACCACGAGCACTACAATTGGAATTACATAATTGAAGCAAATTGTAATGTGATTTGTTGGATTTTTTATCTAGCATCAGCACTTACACTGATGTGTTCAAAGCGTCAGTGAAGGAAGCTACTAATTGTGCTGATATTCCTAAACCGTGAATCACCAGGCCGATAATTATAGTAGTTAAAGACCTGAAAAAAACAGAATCGAATCTATAGCTATATAATGACTTGGGAAAACAAAGCCCAATTTTCATTAAGCACAACTGGTAATTTTAATTTGTAATGGTGTTATAGTACATTATTACTTACGAAGTATATGGTAAGAATGGAAGAGGTCCTACAAGAGAAAATCCACTGGCAACTAAAATGCATCCAGCCAAAGAAGCCGTTTTTGGTCTCAAACCGCGATCGCACAGCCATCCCCAAACTGGAGCAGTCAGAGCGTAAGTTCCACCATTTACGATAAACATCATACCTAAAAAAAAATTACGTGTCAAATCAAATTGTAAAGTATAGAAATAACTATGTAAAAATTCTAAAGTGGCTTTTTACCTAAAACAATGGGCGATAATTCGAATTGTCTAAGATGTGGTTCCAACGTTGCTGATAAAAATCCAATTGATACACTGGTTGCAGCAATGCTCAGTGCGCAAACGATTACAGCAGGAATACGTAGAAGACTAACCATGGATGCTGGAAATTAGATAAAAAATAAAAATTGCTTACATACAGATTTGATTATATCTTATTTTTCCTTACATCCTTGGTCTGTAACATCAGATTCCGATGTTTGTTTAGGAAGAACCAGAGCGGTCATAACGGCAGCCAGGAAGAGTGCAGAACCCAAAACAGCGAATGGAGTGGTATATCCTCCAACCGAGTACAAAGCACCTCCTAACGTTGGTCCAACAATTAGTCCTAGCCCAAAGAAGGTTTCCAATGAAGCCTACAAATAATATACGCCTGATAGTAGCTGGAGAAACACGTTGGAGAAGATAGATTTATCGAACAATTAGGAGTAAAACCTTCTAGAAGAGGTAATGAAGAATGAAGAGGAAGGAAAAGGGAACAGGAAGAAAGAAATAACAGGAAGGAAGAAGAAATAACAGTAAGAAAGTAAGGAATAGAAAGAAAGAAAAAAGAACAAAAAAAACAGGAAGAATAGAAAGTAAGAAGAAAGAACAGAAAAAAAGACAAAACGGAAGGAAAGAACAAAAGAAAGAAAGAAAAACAAAAAGAAAGAACTAAAAACAAAAAGAAAGAAAGAAGAACAGAAAGAAAAAAAGAAGAACAGAAAGAAAAAAAGAACAGAAAGAAATAAAGAAGAGGATAGAAGGAGTAGGAGAATTGGAGAACATTTTTGTAACTAATTGATAGTGCCATAGATAAGGAAAAATATGAATAGTACTCCGGCGAAAATCTGTTTAATAAAATGTTAAAAGTACATTGAAGAAAATTTATTTGATAAGGAGTTATTTGTGTGGAATAAGTAATTACCCAAATTTCATTGAATTTTAAATATGAAATTACATTGAGATGAATTTAAATTACAATTTAGTGCATTGTTTTGACATTAGACAATATTTTGCACTTGAGACATCACAATTACGCAGATTCCAACCTAATTTTAATGAATGACGTCAATACAATATTTATAACAAGGCTATTAGAATTTGTATTGGTTTCGTATTAGAAACTAATCTTATATTTCATAGTTAGATTATGAAGTACCAATAGTAAGTAATTGTAAGTATAGTAAAAATTATAAAATGTGTGAAAGAATTCGATTTACATAAACAAATATTTATAATTAATTTAGTTGAAATGACTTGCATACATTTCACATTAAAAAAACAAATGGTCTTAATACATTCTAATAAATCGATTTGTGCATTACTACCATCAGGAATAAAATCGATGTTGAACACAATTTTTTGTAGAAGAACTTTGAATTACATTTTCTAGCAACTCTGCTAGTTATATTGAAATGAAAATAGTAAATATACATAATATGTTACTTACAAAAGTGGTAGCAACATTATCAGGAAATTCTCTGGCAATTATGGCAAAAGAGGCTGTGAGAAATGCAGCATTTCCCAAAGCTTCAACTATTCTTATAATGAAACTCAATGCTATGAATGGTATATGATCATCAATTCTCTCCAGAAATCTGGAAAACAAAATAGTTTAAAACAAAATCAACATATTAAATATATGTATGTAATTCATTTATTACTTACCCAAATAATATAGCACATGTACCCGTCGTAAAGATGCCTGCATTAAACAAAACTTTGGGTCCTATACGATTTAAATATTTACCATACACTGGACTAATTATAAATACTACAAGTTCAAATACTCCGAATACTAATCCATACTCCGTAGCCGTCGCTCCTTTCTTTTCAGCCTGAAAAAAAAATAAAAATTTAATTAGCTGTTGCTTAATTTTATAATTAAATTGCGAGTTCAATCTCCCAAAACCAGAACATGGTTCTGATTTCCGCATTTGATTTGTTACATCATATCAGTTCACAGTCTACTTCAAGTTCATAGTAAAATTGTAAACCAGTGAACCTCATCTTTTGTTATTGATATGGGAAGCCTAAAACTAGAATTGACTAGATTTTGTCATCTTGATTTAATTGCCACATACAAAGTGCGTCTTGATTATGTAGTTCAAATTTAATTGCATTTTTTATTAATGCTAGAACTAGATAAAGTCTATAAATAGGATTTTTATGTAACATCTTTCACTGTTAGAAAAAAAATTAAAAATATAAAGATACAGAACAAAATATTTTTAATTAATAATGCAATAGAAATGTTGATTAGTTGACTTCCCAAAGAAAGGTTGGTTTCAGCCAGGTTGCTAATTTTTTCTTCTCGACGTCATAAGCCATTCTGAATTTATTGACACCTGAGTTGAAATGTGTATATGAGCATGTATATGTATACATTTGTGTGTATGCCAAAATTGGACGTTTTTTCAGAAACGCTAAAAAATTTAATAGCCATTTGATACTGGGCATGGTGGTTAGTTTTGCATTGATTGACTGAGCTATTTCTTCACATATAACAATTTGCCTTATGGCGAAATTGCCACTTACACCTTTATTTAAATAATAGATTCAGTTTTCACCAAATATTGTAAAAAAATATTTGTTGATTAAAAAGTTATTCGCCTAGCTGAAGTTGCATTTAAACATAATTCAAATTACAAGTTCAATTATTTATGCTGCAAGCATTAATCAATAATTATTTATGAATCACGAATGTTATTTTTGCATAAAAATGAATACTAAATATAATCTAGTTTGATAAGAAGAAACTGAAAAAAAAAATCGGCGTCCACTGATATTAATTGACCCATCATTGATAACTAACCCAAATAGTAAGGAGGCCATCACTTTCATCATAAATTGATTATATGCGTAGTAAGAATTGAAACAAAGTTGCTTTGGATATAGATGAGTATTGTTTTTTGTTGAATAATTGACAATTATATTAATATGTACAAAATCAAAGGTTTAGGTGGAATAATAAAAATCGTTTAAATAAAGACACTGCAAAAATACCTAATAACATTTGCTATATAAGATGCTGCAAAATATAAACTGTGCTACTAAATGTGACAAATGTGATGGTACTAAATACAAAAAATATTTACATATATTACCAATATGAATAAAATATTGAATGTACATTACATAAAAATCTAGTAAAATCCAAATATATACTGAACTAATTCAATTCGGATTTTGCATCATGATTTTTGCTGACCGAGCAAAGATCAAAAAACAAGTATCATTTGCGAAATTATATAACTTCCAATTTCCGACTTGTTTACTCAATTTTATGTATACATGTCGCCAAAATAAGTGCAAATTCTTATTTAGTGATCTATATTTATAAAATCTTATAAATAAATTTATAGTAAACAAAATCATAATTGATTATAGATATAAATAAATTTCTAATTAAAGTTTTCGTAACATATGTAAACAGATTTTAATTAAAGAAGAGAATTTGATTTAAATGATTGGTTTGGGTGAATATATCAGTGTTTTCTAGTAAAATAATAAAAATTAACATTTTTTAAAAAAATTGTCAAAAAAATGCAATGTACCACAGTTTAATATTTCACTATTTTTATGATAATTTGTAAGTGGCTAAATATTATATGAATATTGTACTTGGCATTATATAAATGAGAGTATATATTTCATTACTGATTATTATTTTGTAGTATTTTTCGATATTTGATATTTATTAGTAATATCAAATTATTAAGGATTTCAAAAACAAAAAAAAAATACATTTAACAAAAAAATCATAATTTGGGAGCCGACGATATGTCCAGAATGTGGAGTGAGAAAACCCATAGCCAATATAATTTTTTTCTTGAAAAATCTGCTGAATAAGGTAAAAAACATAGAAAAAATGAATCAAATTACTAGTACTAACAAAAATAATTAATTGCAACTTACTAATAAAGTAAAGTGATTTTGATTGTCCTTAAAATAAGTAAAAATAATTCAAGAATGGCCTAGATATTAGCAAATTCCTAGATTAAGCAAAAATACTGTACGTCTTCATATTACACTTCAGTAAAATAAAATAGCTTTTTTTTTTAAATAATACACATTATAGACATGCATTTCATTTTTTATAACAAATTGACTATTGATTTGGATAATCATAACTAAGTTATAAATATTATGTAAAAATAAAAAATACTATGGTAGAAAGTGATACTGACCATACTGATACTGAAAAGTGATTTAATTAGTATAGAAATAAATTAGACTATGCATTGTCTAATATGAGTACACTTTTACGAAGTTGGTCATAACTCATAAGAAAAATTGAAATATTTATCGACCATAATACAATAAGGCAGTGGTTTCCAACCTTTTGCTCCAATAAAAAAACATGTTGCGTCTCCCTTAATTTTATAAATTACTTGACTGATATCAGAGCACAATCTAATATGCAATATTATGTAAAATATGAATATATATGAAAAAAGTATTTTTTGTTTATTTTTTTAATATATTAAAAATTTTGGGTTATTTTGGAAAATATGGAAACCCTAAAGAGTGCACGCCCCACGGGTTGGAAACCACGGCAATAATAACTTGTTTTTGCATAGATTTATTGTGGATCAAAATAATATAATATGCTGGGTGTAAATGTAGAAGTAACTTTGCACAATTTAAATACTGTAACTCAAAAGGGCGACCTTAAGAGGTCCTTAAAACCACATTTTGATGTAAATGTATGACACTTATATAACTTTGCATTATTGTGCAGATTTTTTCACAAATGCTGGTTGTATGAAAAATATTGCAAAATTTATTATTTTGTAAATATTTGTACAATCACGGGTTTGCCTGCCAATAACACTAGATTGAAAAAATACATCACAACAGCTCGATGATACTAAGGGCAGTAATGATTGCTGTCCATAAAAAAATTTCTTAGTCGATTCTTATTAAAGAAATACTTTCCCGCTTTTCATATTCGCAATCAAATCACGTTATCTATTACAATCGCACAACTTTATCTTACAATTAAAAAGATAACCAGAATGTATGAATGAAACAAGATCATCATCATCATCAGCATCCGCTCGGCTGTTGTACATTGCTCCAGATCCGCCAAAGTGCGTAGTACGATGACAATTATTTATTCGGGGGTTTGACAAGATTTATTAACATCGGCATAGATAACGAATTTAACGACATTTAGAAGAAACAGGCGCCTATATGTATTCGATAACAAAATGTTTATTTACATTAGTCATTTGCGATAATCGTATTTAGCTGGTGTAGTGTGATTTCTAATTATACTAAACGTCTAGCAGCCTTATCTCTCGAACATATGTTTAGCTGCTGAAGTCAGACAAGGATGTATGATTATTATAAAAAAATGTTTACTAATATCTGAGAAATTTAGGTAGAAGAGTTATCAACATGCTTTGATGGATAAATTTAGCAAATTAATTTGACGTCTGTCCGGGTAGATATTTCTGGAATGATTAAAAAACTGTTTTTGGAAAAAGTTCATTGAATGCGAAATTAATCTAGGTCGAAGTAGTTTGGCGTAAACAAAATGCTGATTATCTATGAATTTTTAAATGAATGAAATTATTAAAATTTTGCGAATGTAGATGTTTATAAAACCAATAAAAATCTTTAATAATCACATTTCCATGCAGTAATCTCCTGTGAGCACTTTTATCTTGAACACATTTAAGAAAATAAGTCAAAACTATCAAAAAGATCATATTTAGAAAAAATGTAAAAGTTTCTTATAAACAAGTGCTTTTTCAAAATTTTGGAAGTTAAAAAAACAGATTTTTCAAAAAAAAATTAAAATTTTCGAATTTTTTCATTTTCAAAAAAAAAATCTAAATTTCGAAAAATTCACAAAAACATCAAAATTAAAAAGAAGAGATTTCTTACGAAAATTCAAGAATATTTTTAAATTCCAAAAAATATTTTCAAATTCTCAAAAAATTTAAAAAGGTCGATTTTTTTCAAAAAATGCCAAAACATTCAAACCTTTAAAAACTTTTCGAAATTATGAAAAAAAAATTTAAAACTATCAAAAAGATCAAATTAATGTTTTTGTTTTATTAAAAAAAAGGCAACTCAAGAAATATTCTTCATTCATTCAAAGGGATAAATTTTTGCATGAAATTTATTTACAAAATGTAAAATTTTTAATAAAAATAGTAAGAATATATGTATCATCAATAACAAATTTGAAATAAATATTATTTGGAGTGACTACTGCAAATTTTAACTCTGAGTTTTATAAAAGTTGCATAATTTGCATAAAAATTGCATATATTTGTCGAAGGGCCGATTTATCTAGAAAGTCATAAATATTTTTGGAATATCTCATTAAAGTAAATATTTAATTTTAAAATTATAAAGATTTGAGTAACAGATCTTAAAATATTTTTGTTTAAAATAATAAATATTGAACTCATTAAATATTTTGTACTACGACTAATTGAAGATTTTTAAAAGTAACGTATTTTGTATAAAATACTTAAAATTTTAAGAAAACCGATTGATCTATAAAGTCACCAACAATAAATTTCAATATCAATACTAAAGTGAATTTGTTGAAATATAACAATTTTTGGTACTCGTTCAATACTGCAAACTCAAAATCACCAAAAGTGAATATTGGGATTTTGGAAGCAAGAAACCTCAAGCGAGGAATTTATTTCTTAGAAAAACGTAAATTTTTAAATACTGAATGTGTTCTAAATCTCAATCATTGTTATGTGAATAATTAGTATTATCACAAAACTAATACCGCATTTCTATTGTCTCATCATTTGAAGTGTCAATTTCTTGAAGACAAATGCGACTATAAATCAGAATTATGTATGTGTGTGTATGTATATGGATATATATATATATATATATATATATATATATATTATGTGTGTGTGCGTGTATGTACCTGAACAGGATTATGTATGAAAATTATAATATATTAAATAGATGACTGCCATAACCTTTAAGAACGTACTCCAATGTTGGAACCATATCGGAAGCAAATTATATATAGAACCAGGAAATGCGAATAATTATGCTTTTAAATCTGTGACACTGCATATAATTCAACAGATAGTGATTACACTACATCCGTAGTAAATATCTCAAAAAAGAAAGTGGATCTGTGCAGAATTGCAATTGGCGCTTAGATATGGTGACAAATTGTGTAAAATCGGGTGTTGAACTCAAAAAAAAGAAAAAAAAAATTAAAAAAATGTAAAAATGTTCTCAAAGGTAAAACGTTAACTTCTCACGGCAATTGAAAGTTGATATTAAAAATATTGAACAAAAACTATTGAAAATTAAATATTCTAATAAGATAATGCCAGTCCAGTTTGCACATTTATAAGCACTGGTACCTTGGTATCAATACGTATGTTACATAAACTACCTCGAACACAATGTAGATTTGTTATTCTCGTACAAACAAATTCGAGAAATCCAAATGGATTCACAGGATGTGCATCGAATTTATATCAATACGTATGATTGATTTCTTATAAACAAACCTTGCAAGTGTATCAATTGGACATCCGTGGAATTGATCAATACATTACTTTTGAATACATAGTTTTTTTTATAGATAGGCAATGCATAATATAATATACATGTTAATTCAATAAATAACTAAATAATTCTATAAATTATTGAATTTTATTATTTTCTTACCTCTTGTGGGTAGAATGGTGCCTGCAAGCTGACGCAAATGGCGTTGCAAAAATCAGCAATTCCTATGACGATCAGCGTCAACCACTGCCTTCTTGAAAAATTTAAAGCCATCTTCCTACTGCTACTTTTACACTTTCAAAAAGTTTTTCAGAACAGGAGTACTGTTTATTACTCCAATAAAAATAAATAAAATAAATAATAAATAAAAATGCGTTTGCGATTTCAAAGGAATACTATAAAATATACGCGCGCAAAAATTATGTAGTCACAATTAATTAAGTATTATTTAAGAATATCTACGAGTCTTTTACTACACTTTAAGTCCGTTTACCTCACTAATCGCGCGCGTTAAAAGTTCATAAAACCGTGGATCACGTGGAAAAGTTGCTCATGTGTTGGATGACCAAATACTTCTCATAGAAAAATTTCCTGTTATTCATGATGGCGCATTTTCTACAAAGTCCTTTCTACTATTATAACTCACTGCACAGGATTACCTCGACATGTGAACAGGAAGAAGGAAGTCTTGAGCACCACAACTGTTCCTTGGAACGAACGAATTTGTACTGATTTTTTGAGAGGACGATTGACCATCGGCAACCCGGGCAGTGTGCAAGCGACATCTGGACACTGTGTCGTCTAGCCAGGGTTGCTTGTTTTTCATTGGTCGCATAATCTACAATGTGTCGAAGGTCAGACTGATCAGTGAAGTTGACTGAGGAAGATCCAGGCACCAGGGGTGAGAAGAACCGAACACATTTTTTGGACAAATTTTATAAAAGTTGATATGCAGATTGAGAAGAAGTCAGATTCATTCAAAAGTAACTTATAACAATATCAATACTTTACCTCTGCATTTTTATTAAAAGTCAATATTTTGTATTTTCATTAGTACCTATGACTTGCAATGCTGAAACATCACAAGTCATAAAAATGAAGTATATTTAAATTGTGAATAGTTCTAATCTTAAGCCTTATCATGTTGTTCATTGTACTATAACCATACTATTTATTTACAACTTAAAAAATTTACCATGTAATTACAACTTATTTTTTTTTAAAGTGCAAATTAATAGGATATAATTAATAATATTTAATATTAACTATAAGGAGATCTTATATAAAACATTATATGGAGTGATATCTCCAATCACTGATTCCTAAAAAATCTAGGTGGTTAAAAAGAGTACAAAATTTAAAAATAAGATAAAAAACATGATACATAGAAAGTGTAGATAAATAAATTAAACCAATAATAAATATATCTATATTTGAATAATTATTTGATTGGTATGAAAATGTAGATGGTATTTTTTATATATTCATAAGGTTACCATGTGAATATATACAGCATGTATAGAAATTTTGTATGATTATTTATACCAGGCACTTCTGTCTGATTAAAACTTAGAAAAAAAATATTATACTTATAAATAAATAAAAATGTTAAAATTGTAATAAGATTCCAATGAATCCAATTAGGGCTTATCAGATTCTAATAAGACTACATTGTCAGATTCTAATAAGACTCAAGATTGCTTCTGTACAGAATTACTATATAAACATTCACATTTGATTTGATCATTTCGCATATTTTTATAAACAATATCAAATACATAACGATAATTTAAAAAATTATATGTACAGTTTTCATTATATTTAATTCAAAATTAATATTATCATTTGAGTCTTACATACAGAAAAAAAAACTTTCAAAACACTTAATTTTGGATAATTCTATGCAGAAATCAATGTGTCTGCATATAATAATACTAAATTTAATTACGGTGATAAATTTTACTATTAATTATTATTTATTTTATTATTTATATTCAACGGTATTTATTAATTCTTAGGCAATGCTACAAAAAAATCACATAGATTCACCATATTACTATTAAAATTAATGGATATAATTATTGTGCAATTTTGATTATAAAATATTGATATAATTAATAAATAATATTTATTGAAAATAATGAATTTACATAAATATAACTTGAGATTTTGTTAGATAGATATACGAGATTTCATGTTCCCATATCCAATCCAGGATGAAAATGTATATGTGTCCAATTAGAAAAAAGTACTTTATAAGCAGCAAAAATTGTCATTAATCAAAAGCAATTCAATTATAAAGATATATTTCATCTAAGTATTATTTATTTTGTCTCATCCTCTAAAATAAGTGGAAATATTCAGTACACTTCGTACAACACATTGAATATAATTTGATATGATTAATATGATGAGTATTTGAATAAAATTTTTGAACGCTAATTTTGATTAAATCATTTCAAAACTTTTTTTAATTTTTTTCTATAAAAATGCATTTCCAAACCCTATCACCCGAGGATGATAATAGAAGAGACAGCAATTCAAAATATTTTCGTATTATTTTTACACTTTGTATGCATATGACTTTTGAGTTTCTTGTAATCGTTATAATTCCATTAAATTATTATCGTGCACGCATAGTGATATATTGATTTTTATTTATCTATAATTGCTAAATTATTTTTAATAAATTTTATTGACAGAATAATTTTAATGATGCCAATTGTCAATGTTGGTAATACATTCTTGATGTAAAATATTTCAGTAAATTTCAGTACGATTTTAATATATCTCTTTCAATGAAGTATATTGTATCTGTAGTATTGTATCTGTAACGTAATGGCGTCAAGGTAAAATAATAATTTTAATACTTTTTTCTAAATAAAATTTATATAAAAAACATTCTTCATTTTTATTTTCACATTTTTATATGCCTAAATATAAGTTAAAATTTAATTTTAATAAAAATATCTTTATATCTATCTCTAAAAATTATTATATAAAATTAACAGTATTTTACCCAAGTTTTAGATGACTAGGAGTTTCATATTTTTGTATATTTCAATTACATTAGTGAACAATATATAGGTATTATTAAACAAGAATCCATTTTAAATTATTATATTATTATTATTATTATTATTATATCTAAGTATTTATATCCAAGAATTCAAGTAAATATTTAAAAGAAGCAGTAGACATAAAAAAATCATTTTCATAATTAAATATTTTTTATTAGTATTCGCCAGTATTACGTTTTTGACATTGTGCATTATTTTGGGATAAGAATGATTTTTTGGGAAATTTTAATTCAATTAATTATTTAAATGTCAATGAATTTCTACATATAGTATTTCCACCTTTAGAAATATTTAAACAAAGTTGTTTGAAAATAAACTACTTTGTTTTAAAACTATGAGATCTGATTGCTATTGAAAATAAAAAATTAAAAAAAAAAAAATATGAGATATAAAAACAATGTTTTATGCTAATAGCAGCCTAACTGCAAGACAATTTTGATTTATAATTTGCTTTATATGCCCTATAGCAATTAAATTATTATTTTTAACTAGTTTTTAAACATCTGAAACATAAAAAACCCATTTCAGATATCTTGTGCATAAGTATTATTACATTTATAATATATAGATATTTAGGGGCTATTTCTCCAATAAAAAAAATGTTATGTTACGAGTATGAGTATGAATTTTACTTCAAATCTGCTTCTAAAACATAACCTGCAAAAGACACAAATGTCAAATAACAATTTTTTAGGTGCAACTGAAAATTGTTGCTGAAACCTAGGTTTCGTATCCGCACACATGTACACACACTTACATACATAAATACATTTTTTCTAAGGTATGCCAAAATATTCAGAAACGTTAAGATATAAACAAATCATTTTTGGGTTTTTTTTGCAATCACTATAATTTACAATTATTATACATATAATATGGAGAAATTACGAAATTTAGTACAATATATAACGCATTTAATAACACAAAATTACATAATACAGAATGTAAAAATATTATTTAATTACATAGAATAAAATCACCAATGGATAATATCCTAATCTAGCAAATTGTTTAATGAAACAATGTCTATATTTTTTTTATATTAAATCATCAAAATATGTTAGTTAATTTAATGTTTTTT